TAATAATAATAATTCAATTCAATTCATGTTTATTTACGTGCAATAACTCAACAGCACAGTGGCCAATTACAAAGTTAGCACGAGTATATAAGGTACAGAAAATAATTAAAACAAATACAAATATGACAAATAATTCTGCGAACATAAATCTAAAGAAGACTGAAATATTTATGAAATATTACGAATGTTGCTAATACTGTTAGTAACTGAATACCAAGATAAGACACCTGGGAGTGATAGCATAAAATTTTGAGGGACGAACGCTAAAAGTAGAGAAGTCTCGAACATGGCAAGTAGGAACACGAAGACTTAATAATAATAATAACATTTTTATAACTGCAGAAAATGGACAGATCCTCCAACAGACAATAAATAGGGTTATGAATGAGCTCCATTCATTGTTTTATGTACATGTAAATAGTCTTCTAATAAACAATGAGAAAACAATAGCAATGTCATTCCATGCTAGGCAATAAAGAGATGTAGTGAAACCTCAAACCAAATTTGGCAATATGGGTATTGCCTATAAAACAGAAACAAGCACCTTAGGCATACACATTAGTGAGTACAAGAAATGGAATGCACATGCAAGGCCACTAAGCTCCAAACTCAGTAAATTTCGTTATATGATTAAATCTCTCAAGGATGTAACAAGCCCAAGTTATAAGAAGTATTTATTTTGTATATATTCCTGGTTATTTGAGGAATGGTTTAGTTTTCTGGGTTGGTAACTAAAAAATTACAATTATTTTCAAATTACAGAAATGGGTTATATGAATAATCAGTGGTGTGAGGAGATATACATCATATAGGCAAGTGTTAATGATTTAAATGTATTTCCAGTACCTTACATGTACATACTCGTATAAAGAAACTCGAACAAAATGTCGCAATTCATAATCATAATACATGCCAGTAGTTGAACGTCAGCGTTCAGTTCTGTACAACAAATGCCCTTCATAAAGGCATAGTAAATGTGAAATCAAATTATACAATAAATTACCAAATAAAATAGGGAAATGGAGAAAATGAGGCAATTTAGAAGAGTGATGTGATTCTACCTAGTACAGCACATGTACATTTTACTCTGTAAATGAATATATTTTAAGTTAAATTAGCAGAATATGATATTTAATTTGTTTTATTTTTATGAATTGTACCTGTATTGCGTGTTATCATGAAGGAACTTAGCTGGAATCCTTATGTTACTTTTAGATGTGTATGTGTATATTAGATGTATCCTATGTTTGACTTCTAAAAAGGATGAACAGAATTGAATTGAATTGAACTGAAACAGGAAGTGGCCCAAATAAGATATTTATATCCATCAGGGTAGATTTATGAATAATGGCGCTTTCTTAAAACCTGTGAACTTACATTGTTTACATTTATTTCAGTGTAAGATATGGAAGGACATGCAAATCAAGCGTTTGATGTGCAATATGAAGACAGTTTGCAACTAAACGTGAGCATTAACTCTTTTGTTAACTTATTGTTGCAGGCAAGAGTACTTTCTAGAACCCAAGCTGTCATCTATGAAATCTTCCTACTATGTTCACTCCCTCGACCTATTTAATGGAATTCACTGAAGTAAAATATGTCATAGCACAATTTCTTTTGCAAGCTAATGCATGATGTTCCTATCAAACCTTCCCCCCAAAACTATAAAAGCTGAAAGAATACAATTTCTGGCATCAGGAAGAGAAACTCAAGAATTTATGTAACAATTTTTACTGTTTAGTACACTTCATCGTGCAACCCAGTGGTGGTACAAAGACTGTCAAGTACAGTATTGTCACGTGTTGGTTATGTCACGCGACAAATAACTTCATGTGGGTCTTGGATTTAGTGAATCGTTATTGGACACTCACTCTTACACACCTTACAATTATTACCACTTGCAGTATCTCAACTACTGCCTCTACTTCAGTGCGACATCTCAACTGTCTTTGGTCATGGCTGGATCCCAACTTCTCTGGTGGCGGCTATCCCAAGATTGTCTCGTTCTCACTACTCTGTGTCATCTCTGGCTCTGCTTATATAGGGGTTATGCAGACTGGATACCAGACACCATTTCTCACGGTTCCGTTACTGCTGTTCAACAATCCATTGTTATAGGAATGCTTCTTATAGAATACACCGGTAATGTGTTTCGTCTCATCCGTTGTTACTCAACAACAATTCGTTGCTATGATTTGTCGCTGTAGGAACTCCACAATTTCCACGTATCCGTTGTCATGGAAGTGTCCGTTCTGATTGTAGCGGTTGTCGCGGTGATGGGTGTAAGGTAATGCGTCATAGAATATAATAAATTTCTGTCCATGTTTTATCAGACATAACTGGAATGGCTGTGTCAGTCACATCATGGATAATGGGTTATAATGCTGGAAACTCAGAAACACGAGTGTCACACACTTTGCCCTTTATGTATCCCATGAAAATAAATTCAATGCAGTGAAATCTGGCAAACATGGTTGTAAAGAGGTTGGTCAATTATGCCCAGTCCAACGATCCAGGAAGGTGCCACTGAGGGATTCTTGAAATTGGAAACTCCATTGATATGGAGATGGTGTTTGTCAGAAAATCCACTGCTTTGGGTTATATGAATTGTTCCAGACTATAAAGATACATATTACCTGTTATTTTAGTCTTCAACAAAGAAAGAATCCAGTAATCTTATCCTTCATTAAGCCACACCAAACATTCATCTCATGGCTGTACTGGTAAAAAGGTAAAGTTATCTCTGTAACAGGCCATGGAGGCCCATAGGGTTGTGAGATGTTGAGAGTCCCACATGTTCTCTACACGATCGTCTCACAGATGGTGGTAAGGTTGTCAGTCTTACATGTCGGTCTCCATTTACCCCCCAGGAAGATTCCTGGTACTCATTTCTGTTAGAGATGAGTTGACCCCAGGGCTACAAGGCGGCTGGAAGGATTAGGTCAACTGAAAAAATCCACCTCATTGCGACTTGAACCCGTGACCGTCTGGCGTGTTGCATAGTTAATGGCTATACTGGACCAGCTCTTTATAGATGTGAGAATTTCCAGAGCTCCATATGTTATGCAGAATAACTTTTCGTGACTGGTGAAATGCAGCCTTATCAGAAAACAAAATGACTGAAAGGAAGCCAGGATCTGTGAAGATCCAATGCAGCATGTAAATACTGAAGTTTCTCAACGTGGCTTATTGTCCAACTTCAGCTATTGGACGATCTATGCATTGTATGCAGACAGGTGCAGAACTCTGTGTAGTGTCATACATGGAACCTGCAAGTCCCTGTGCACTTGACTGATGCATTCAAGCTTCCTGGAATACACAGGAGATATGTTTGACCTTCTTGTCATAAACAGTCATGCACATCTCCAGATTTGCTGTATACATTCCATACCCTCTCCAGTAGCGAAGAACATAATTTTTACTTACCACACATCAATCTGTGCTCACTGCTGGGTAGATTCCATTTTATTCTTAAAAACTGCAAAATTGCACACCAGAAAAGCGGATACTTCAAAGATATGTAATGAAACTCTTTGAGTTTTTCTCCATAATGTCACGAATTGTACTCATTCAGCCATCATAATTTTCCAGCACTGATGTTCTGAAATGGGGGAGTTTGACAGGAACATCCTGTATCACTTTAAAGTCAATCCACAAGAAAATGCCTGTGGCACTAGTGTTGCTGTTCTGTTTATTTTATAAAATTGTTACTTATTGTAATGTGTTTCACTGTAATAGGAAATACATATTGATGGTTACAATAACTTCTTTTCCTGAGAATAAGAAATATTTATGAAATAATGTGTACAGTTTCAACTCCATAGCAATAGTGAAATGTTATCTGGAGGGTATAAAAGAGGCATGTAAGAGACAATTTGGAGGACATGTCATTTTAGGTGGATATTTATATTGTTTTGATTTTTAAGGAAGAAGTTTCTAGATTGATATTATTTAGAAATTACTCTTTTAGGGATTCATATATAATCATACTCATATGTACAGCAGACAATGGTAGTTGACATGCAGATAGTTTTCACTTTTTACAGACTTGTATTATTGGCATATTCAATTTATATATATTTCAATATATAACAAACTCTGATGTCCACACACGTAATACCAGATTTAATCATGACCTACATCTTCCGGTGGTAAACTTAACGATATTTCAGAAAGGTGGATGGTATTCTGGTATCAAACTTTATAACCACCTCCCTCCAGAGCTTAAACAATTATCTTATGACATTCCTGGATTTAAAGTGGCGTTAAAGAAGTTTCTTATCACCAGTTCTTTTTATACTGTTGAAGAATACTACTGCTGGAATAAAGATTGATACCTCATGTATATTTAATAAACACTGCTGCCTATTGCTAGGATGCAACGGAATATGGAATAAAATACTCAGGAAAAAGGTGCTATCACTGCTGTAATATAGGTGTATCATATATTAAGAAAATAGATTTTATATTACTATATTAAGATTCTTGATGGTCTTTTAATCATGTATGTAATTTTAAATGTTATTTTGATATATGAATATATTGTTGTACAGTAGTTTTGTTGTATTGAGTATTTAAATTTTGACGATGATGACTGTCTGATTATGTATGTATATTATATGTTATATTGTATTATTGACTTGTTCTATATCTGAGGCAGATGCCTCTATGGATTTTTTGGAACTATAAATAAATGACAAATTTGTTAAGGACCTGCATGACATGGGGATGGTGAGAAATGACCATGGATGCATATGTGAATCTGTCAATCTAATGTATTAATAGAGGCGAATATGATCAGAGGGCTTTAGAATATCAATTTTCACATGGTCTATTTAAGTTCTACATATTTGAATGAAAAAGCTGTTAGCAGGGTATCTGAAGATTACACTGAAGTAAGCTCATTTCACTCTGACTTAATAGTTTAATTGAAAATAACTCTTTAACTTACTTAATACAGTTGATCTTTTTATGCCTACATACTAATATATTTCTTCTACTTGTCATATAAAATACATAAGTTGTAGTGAAAGGAAATTAGGTTATTAGTTCTTCCCAGAACTTTATGTTTAAGACTGTGGTCTTCTGATTTGTGACACCATGTAATTCTGTAGTTGGGTACAAGCGTTTCAGAGGAACATGATGCCCCTGTTTTCAGGATTGCAGTCTATAGGTTCAGGAATAGACTTGGTTATATAGGTAAATTACAAGGAAGATGTTCATGGAATCCAAGGAGAGGTTAACCCCTCTTCTTAGAACCTGGTCCAAGCCAGTTAGAAGAAATAGGCACAGAATAGCCCTAGTAAGGGACAACCCTGAAGATCGATGCATCATGTTCCTCGAAAATGTCCGAACTTCCCACAGAACTACTTAGGAACCATCCCAGAACATCACAATCTTAAGAATCACTACCAAAAAATTTGAAAAATGGTGTAACTCCTCCTTTATTAACCATATGGTAATATCATCCTAGAGTACAGTACATCACAATCTTATTAATCACTACCAAGAAAATTTGAAAACTTATGTGACTTTTCCTTATTAACCATATGGTGATATAATCCTAGAGTACAGTGTTCACAACCTAATGGGAGAACTAAAATCAGAGGCATCAAGGACCTTGTTTGTACTGTGAAAATTCATCTAACAAATGTGTTCCTTTCGTTCTAATAATGATAAGTGCCAAGAAGGTTGAGCCTGAGGATCAGAAGGTCTTATTGCTGGTTAATATAGGGTTAGAGTGGAAAAAGTTTGAGACCTGTTCCTCTAGCGTGTTGTTAACTTGTTCTTTGCTGTTTCTAAAACACTGTACTTAAAGCACATGTATTTTCAGGTTTCCACTCAACAAGAATTATCCAACTTAGAATCTGTCCCAAGTGGTCACAATATAAAAACAAACGAGAATAAAGCAGATGGATCTGTAAATCAAGAGCTGTATCAAAAGAAAACCATTTCTAATGAGCCAAATTTTTACCATAAGGTAAGCTTTGAAAACCATTATATGTGAAGTACCTAATAATGCTGACAGTGCTTGCTACTTTTCAATTCAGAACCTTTTGTCTTCCCTTGTTCAATCTAAAACCAAAATACATGCAAATGTATTTTAAAACTATGATTTTAACTGTTATTTTGTGTGAGAGAAGTACCATAGATTGAAACTGGAAGTTGTGGCTACATGGTCAGCACACTTGCATCATGTTCATGAGGCACAGATTTTGATTGTCAGTCCAGATCCTGGCTATCCCAACTGAAGGTTTCTATGGTTTTCCTAATTTCGCCGACAAGTTGAGGTCGCTTGGTCGGTATAGCTCACTTGTGGGCTAAAATCACGGAGTTTCTTTTAGCCCTTCCATGCAAATGTTATGATAATACTATACCTCAAATATGTTTTCATTATTTTTGCTTGTTCCTTGGCAGATATTTTACAGCTATTCTTTCATTGGACACTGTATAACTTTGTCAATTGAAAAAGTGTTGTTAAATGAATGAAATTTATTAAACACACAAGCACATGTACACACACACACACACACACACACACACAGAGAAAACTGTTACCATAATTATTTGTACCAGGTACCAATTATGCTATTAAATGGTCCTATGTCTTAAATATTTTAACTTTTTTTGTAGGAGGTGTCAGAATCTGCATCCTCAGAGTTACTGAATAAAGGAAATAATCCTGATGAACGTCAGATAGAAATAAGTGAGGACCGACTTGCAAATACTACTCATCTTAGAAGAGCTGCTCCATTAAGACTTGGGATATCCAGCGATGAAGCAGGATGCAGTCAACAAACGTCATTTACGGTAGACCAAACATTTTTATTCATCCTATATATATAGTAAATTGCTGTGTCATAGCTCAGGCAGTTAGTCACTAGCTTCCCACCCTGGCTGCCTGGGTTTGAGCTGAAGTCAATTCATGTGGGATTTGTGGTGGACAAAAGTGACACTGGAGCAGATTTTCTCTGAGTACTTTGGTTTCTCCTGCCAATTGTCATTCCATTGACTGCCCCATACTCATCATCTATCATCTGGGACTGGTAAAATAGGCCTGTTAGTGGCCGACATACCAAGTGAACTCATTCTCACCCCACTCCAAGAAACTAACTAAAAAATCTATATACACCAAATAATTTTAGCCATGAACAGGGCCAGTTTATCCAATGCATGAAGTGGGTAGCTGGCCAGACCCCCTGATTTTATGGTCGCACAAGTGTCAGTGAAATGTGGTTAAATTTTCCCAAGATTTTTTCTGAATATTTCAAAATTATATTTCCAGGCATTTTCAGTTTATGTCACAGCAACTTTCCAATACTACCATCAGCAGCAGTTGTATTGGTAGTGTCAGATGTCTAAGGACCCTCAAAGGCTGAATAATGCTTACTTCAGAAAATCTGTAGCTACAGGCAACAATGTGTCCATCTATTCAAATGACAGCATAATCCTTTATAGCTGACGTTACATACATCCCTGGCAGAAGGAGAATATTCTTGTTGGAAATGAGGCTGTAGGAAGTCCAGACTACACAGTGTTATATTCAAGTAGTGAGATTGTTCTGTTTCAAAATTAAACTCTATTAAGTCAGAATTTGGTTACATAATGCATCAAAATTATCTCAATTCTTAATCATTGAAGCCAATTGAAAATTAAAATTCAGAGCTGGTGAACTTCAATAATATCATGGATGGTTTTATGAAAATAAAACCAAAAAGGAGTTCCATCCAATTTATACTATTAAAATGACTGTTTCTTTTTATGTACAAAATCCCTAAAGTCTTCAAAAGTTAGTTCAGCTTGTGAGTTTGATTCACTTACCTGGGCAGTAAGCACATAAAATTTCTTCTTCTTCTTCTTCTTCATCCCCTTCTCCTTCTCCTCCTCCTCCTCCTTGTCCTCCTTCGTTGGTATGTTTGGCATGTCATACTTCTGGTATGGATGTGTAAAATGTTAAGTATTGCATTTTGAAACATTATTTTAAACCTAGATAAATTTAAATTGTGTTTTAATCTATTTATATCCTTTTCACTTTTGTTAATATAAGTACGTAAAAAGTAAAGAAAAAAGTAAATATATCCCTGTAACAGGCCCTGGAGGCCCATAGGGTTGTGAGACATTCAGGGTCCCACATTATCTAGACAATCAGCTCAAAGATGGCTGGCCTTACGCGCCAGCCCCTCTTTACTCCCCAGGAAAATTATTTAATTAATTCCTGGTACTCATTTCTGTTAGAGGCTGAGTCGACCCCAGGGTCATAGTGCGGCTGGAAGGATTAGATCAATTAAAAAAAATCCAATGGCCTCATAAGGACTTGAACCCGCGACATTCTGGCTTGTAGCATAGTGCCCCAACCAACTACGCTACTGTGTGCCCCCCAAAATGTGGAACACTTCATGATTTTGCATGTCATCCTTGCGCAGGTGCCATGCTAATCTTCTCTGTATCATTCCAATATAAGTACGTATCAGCATAAAATCATAAGGTCTTTTCATTTAAGGCAAAAAGAGAGGAGGGTCCCAAGATTATGGTTTCCCCAAGGCACACTAGTGCCTTAGAGTGGCTCTGTGCATGAACACCTAATAGCTTCACCATGCTTATGTGTCTGTATGAATGAAATATATCCTTTCTGGACTGGCATGTGAAGGAATTTGATGTTTAGTATTCTTGTGAGAATTTCATAAGTCAATTAATTTCAGTCCAAATTGGCCAGCAGTAACTACCACTTCATATCAAGATCTAAAACACATTTTATATATACCTTATTTAAAAAATATATATATATTTGAGTACACTGAAAAATAACTTTGGATAAATTGATATATTATGAACATTTTTTTGAGAGTCAAATATTGATAAAAGCTTTCAGGACATGTATCTGTGAAATGCATTTGTTTGTGTTATGTACATGCATTTTGTCAACCTTGTTACATGTAATGTTGTTTAAGTTCATGGCTATTATTCTTTACTTGCCAAACTTTTATGAAATACAATTTCTATGTTCCTTACTACAATATAATTTTATCTTTTATATTTTCCTCCTCAGCATAATGAAATTCCTTCAACAGAACCTGATGAGCCAGTAGGAAGTATGTCTCATAACAAAGGCAGAGGATTCTGGAATCGACATTTCTCAGCCTATAGTACTGCTGCACAAAGAGCCTTATATTGGATGCTACATCTTTGTACACTTGTTTATGTCATATCTGCAGTTGCATTCTGGAAATTTCAACGTAAGAACTTTGAATCACACATACGGAAATTTAAATTCTGAAGAGTCCTGAATGTTTATGTATTGATTAATTTAACAGTGTTTCATCAACTTCATAGATGATTGTAATTTGGGAAGAACATGGAAGAAAGCAAGTATGACCTACTTACTATCTCAGAGTCTGTGTGTAGAGTTTGAGGAAAACATCAGAAAAGCGTTGTGTCTTGATGGCTATTTCCTGAGCTAAGATTCAAATGTAGATCTCCTGAATATGAAACAGAAGTGCCATTCATTTACTTACTTACTTACTCACTCATGGAGCTGAGCCCTTCTGGAGGAGCCGCAAATTTTGCAGCTACTCAAGAATTTCCCAGCATTTTATGGAACCCAAAGGTTCATTACCATGTTCACAAGAGCCCTCCACTGGTTCCTATCCTGAGCCAAATCTATCCAATCCATACCATCCCATTCCATCCCATCCCATGGCTTATGCTTCTTTGGTTCATAATAACCTAGACTCTCTTTGGCAGAATTTTTAAATTCTCTCTAATAGTTTCCCAAGCTTTGTTAACCTCCACCTCAGTTTCCAAGTTTTCCAAAGCCGCAAACCTATTTGAAACATCAACACAATACTGCTCTTTACCCTCTACATCATTTAATTTCTTGAGACTGAACCTCTCCATATGCACTCTGTGTGTTGTTTGCTCACTGCCAGTCTTTCCTTAACCTTTGCCACCTCCAGGTAGTAGTCAGTATCACAATCTGCTGCCCTGAATGATCGGACATCAAGTAACCTGCTCTATACAAATTTTGAACATTCCAGGTGCCAAATCTCATATCCATTTTCATTAGCTTAGGTCGTTTATCCAAGGAATCTGTCCAGGTCCGAGGCTTTGTGTTCATTTTCGTAACATAATAATTTTTTCGGTGAGGAATTGTTAGCCCCATGCCCAACCCCCAAGCTGAAGGGCCACCCCTTGTTGGCTGTCTGCGACTGCTTATTCAATATATTTGCAGCTTTCCTCCAAAACTGGAGGGCATCTCCTCCATAGTGCCATTCATTTACTTACATTAAAACCAGTGTTGTATATATAAGCATGACTGTGCACACATAAACGCACACAAACACAGAGAGGATAATTCAAAGTAAAATAATTGTTTTGCTGTAAAGTGTTTGTACTGCTGTACAGCTTGAGTGACTCAGCTTTCTCTATCTGTATTCCACAAATCACAAAATGCTAAGCTCCAATAAATTATGGAAAGCAACACCAACCATAACAAATACAACAATCAATAAAAAAGTTGTTTAAAGAATAAAGCATTCATAAACATGTATTGACTGTAAAATGAATTTTTGCATAAATAATTTCTAAATCTACTTCACTTGCCTGCCAACAATATTGTTTTTTAAGTGGTATGATTCTACTGGTTATATTTTTGAAGAGTCCAAAGAGTAAAACATCTGTTTTACCCTCATATATGCTTTGTATGGTTTGGCTTATATACTACCACTGCTGTAGCCATGACTGTTACTTTCATATTCCTGTATTATATTGGACTCAGATTTTCACTCTCCTTTTCTTTCTGTACGTGCACGTGCATGTGATGAATATGTAGTGACAGTTTCATTAGCTAGAATGTTTGGCATCAAATGGCAAGAAAGGTCTAATCGAGGTGCTAGCCAAGCAGTTGCTGTAGTGACTGAAAGAATCCACCAAAAAGACAATCTTGATCAGGATAGTCAATGGCTCATGTTTCTTAATGCCCCATAAAAACTTTATTTTAACTACATATAATATGCAATAATTATATCTCTTGTACTCCAAGGGCAAGATTCCACTGCCAAATACAAAATCTATTAGGTCAAAAAAAGAATATCTTACAGTAACTGAAAAAAATATTAAATAAAATTTTCAATTAATTAAGTATAACAGACTCTGTCTCTTATGTATTTCAAATTTAAAAATTAATTCACAACTTTGTCTATTGTCATTAACTGTATATTCCAAAGACTGAAGGGATCTGTTGTGTTACAGAAGAATGTGATTTGGAGTGGTGTGACGGGCTGGGAATGCTCCTTATCATTGTGGTTCTGGTGTATACTGGACTTGCGTATTATTACATCATTAAGAAGCATTGTAGCAAGACATTATATAAAGTTTTGAAACCAATATGTAGGTGGCTGAGTACCTTAATGGAGCATAGGTAAGAAACCACAAGATGTTTTCCTAGGTTTAGCTCCTTTTCTGGCTTTATTGTGAACTCTTGCTAAATTTGTTCAGCAGTCTCATGCACTTTGTGTGATTTCATGCCATGAGTGCAGGGATGTCTTCTGAATGCTACTGCCTTATCCAGGATTATTTTTGAAACATAAGAATGTTTAAATTAAAAGATAAAATAGTCCAATATAAAAACCGAAATTGTGTTGACTTCTCCAACTGGATTACATTTGTAATGATAAAATATTAATCATAAATCCTTTGCTGTGCGAAACTATGGTCAAATTTAAGTGATAAGTTTGCCAGGAAAGACAGCTTTTTAATGAATTATATTCCAGACAAACATTCAGGATGTATATTGCTCATTAAGTTATTTGAAGACCTTTTCTCTCAAGTTCATTCATTCATCAGTAATCTGTCAGATGACAGGTCCACAGTCTCTTCCAAAACAGTTCCTCCACTTAATGCAATCTCGAGCTTTCTCCTTCAAATAAAAATATCCTCTTCTGTCCCCAAAGCCATCCAGCATCTTCTTACGTCTTCTTCCTCATCTTCTGGTAACTTCTATCCCCCCTTCTGATTTGTTTTGTCTCCAGAGAAAATATCTCGCATACATGGTATCTCTGTTTTTGGAAAGAGACTATCCAGGAAAAGTGATAATGTGGTAGTTTTTCCATTTGCTTTCCACATCGCAGTACAACAGCCGTTCAAACCACTCTGGTCACGCCTGTTGCTATACGAACTTGAACCATCTCGAGCATCATTTGCTCTGTGCTTCAAGTCGCTGCTGATGACGCTGCTTCCGGCATCAGTTTTTGGTTTTT